AATATAAGAGGTGACTCGTTTTATTCTCCAAATAGCATTAATTTTGCAACATGCAGTTAGGAATCTGGCTTTCAGTAGAGCTCAACTAAACTAGAGCTTTTAGCTTGCTTGCAAAATGTGCAGGCTAATTATAAAAAGTAAATAAATATAAAGTAGAAGAACCTTATACTAACTGAGCATCTTATAATATGCTACAGGTATATTGCTAAGTACTTTACATTTGTTATCTCATTTACTTCTCACATCATCTTTAGTCATTTTTTCAACAAACATTTTTTGAATTTCTCCTAATGAAGCACCTTTTTAGGCACAGCATTGAACAAAATAATATTCCTGCTTTGAAGTGGTATTAACACCATTTTTAAAGATTAGAAATCTGAGTTTCATAAAGAAAATAGACTTTTCTAGTGCCCTATATGTAACTTAGTAGCTGGTGTAATTGAAATCTAAGTCCTACTATGTCTGATTCAAAGTACTTTAAACCACTCTAGGACAACTTCTTTAGGGTTCTACTATATGTTGTGATTGGTGTAACCACAATTATCTCTTTTGACTGCCTATATCACTAATTACACAAATATGTATTCTCTAGTCCCATTTTCACATTGATTTTCATCTTTTGTATCTATAATAGCTATTAACAAAAACATAAACTTTTGCATTTCTGGCAGACTTATGTTGAGCATCTTACGCTTGCCCTCTAATGAGTGCATATTGATACTGACTACACAAAGCTCTATAGGTAAGGTTTAAGAGCAATCTGTCTTTCTGTTTCATCTTTAACATTTTATTTTCTACTAGAGGCCCGGTGCATGAAATTCATGTATGGGTAGGGTCCCTAGGCCTGGTTGGCGATCAGGGCTGATCAGGGCCTTCTGCCTGCCAGCTGGGGCCTTCCTTCATTCCGCGCTGCCCCCTGTTGGTCAGCGCACATCATAGTGAGCGATCAAACTCCTGGTCTCCCAGTAGAACTCCTGAGGGGACACTTTGCATATTAGTTTTTTATATATATAGATAGGTTGGAAATGTATTCCTTTGTTATTTCACTTGAATACTATACTCATATAGTTCAGGTTTTAGGAAATGCAAAGGGTATGCAATATAATGTTTCCATTCATCCCTAAACCTCAACCACATATTTCTCTTTCCTAGAGGCAGCCAATGTTGCCAGATATTTGTATATCTTTCCAGAAATATTTTAATGCACACACACACACACACACACACACACACATATCCTTTCTTTTTTATGTATGAATGTATCCTATAGAACTTTACATATCAGTCATGGATAACTTTATTATTTTGATAGTTCCATGGATTCTATTGACTTTAAAAGTCAATAGAGAGTAGTGATTAGTCGTAGATCCTGTGTGCAGACTACTTGCATGTAGATTAACGATCTGCTACAGGGAAACCCCTTTTGCAAGTTGCTAAATTTCTAAGTGCCTCAATTTTCTCATCTGTAAAATGGGAGAAAAATAATGCATTCTCTATAGGATTGTTGTGAAGATCAAATGTGTTGTGAAGATTAAATTAACTTCAAGGGCTTATTCAGAACAGTGCCAGGCAGATAGTGAGCACCCAAATTAGCTGCTACCACTATCATCATTATCATTGCCACTTTTACTTATTTAATCAGATTTTTATATATGAAATCTGTATAGGGATATATGGGCTTTGTTTTGTTTTCGCTATTACAAACAGTGCTTCAGGAAATAACCTTCTACATTAATTATTTACATGTGTGTGAGTTTAGGGATGCTTTGCAACAAGTACAATATCAAGGCGAAAGAAATAGTATGTTATAAATTTTTAATATAGACATTTTCCAAATTGCAGGCCACAGGGATTGTATCAACTTTCCCTCTCACCAGCTTTTTGTAACATTAAATTAATGCAGCAAAATAGTAATCCCTTTATGAACTAACAGAGCTAGTGCACTGAAATTATAGTTAAGATTCCACTGTATGTAAAGCTGTCATATCAATCATGGAAATAGAGTGGATCATTATTTGCACTGGAAATATTTTAATAATGATATAGGCAACTTACTACTAAAATAATAATTAACGTTGTCCTTTTTCTTGTTGGTTTATTTATATAAGCTGAATGAGTTGTATCATTTATTCAAAACTATTCTATTTAAGATTTCACCTTGGCAGATTCCTCCCCAACAAACACACCACTTACTGAAATCTGTAGAAACAGTGAGTTGATCCTTATTTGACAAAGTTACAATTTGTCATAGTTACAATAAAATATAATGAAGTCAATTTAAGAGAGTCTTCCGCATGTATATTGTATATGCAGTATTCTCATTGATATCATCTGGCAATTTTCCTTTGCCCACAATTCCCTTCTGCTTCAGAAGAGACCTGATTCTGCTTAAAGAATTTGGCAGCCCAAGATTTCTTGTCTTTTTGTTTGTTGGTTTTTCATTAAATTTATTGGGTTGACATTGGTTAATAACTTTTTCTTGTTTTTTTTTTAATCAACTTTACACATTTTAATCAAATTCACACAGTTTAAGTGTACAGATTGATGACTTTTGGCAAATACATACAACCATGTAATGACATTCCAGTCAATATATATATTCACCTTCCAAAGAACAACTAAATTATCCCATGTTTAATGACCTAAAGATCTAATTTTACTTATTCTTGTTTAGTACTTATGAATATAATTTTACTTATCAGGAATACCTTGAAACAACCCCTGAAATTACATGCTTTTTATCTATGGGAGTCCATTTCAGATTGACAAAATAGTTCATGACCCAAACAAGGTTAGATACAGTTGACCCTTGAATGACAGGTTTGAAATGTGCAGATCTACTTATAGGTGGATTTTCCTCCCCCCCAAAAATGCGTAGTCAGCTCTCTGTATCTCAGAGTTTCATATCCACAAATTCAACCTTTTGACAATTGAAAACAGTATATTTGGTCTTCTGTTGAGAATTGGATGGTCCTTGGGGCCAATACTGCATGGATACCGAGGGATGCCTATAAGTTACATTTGGTGGGAGTAAAATGTTATACATGGGTTTTTGACTGTGTGAGGGTTCGATGTCTCAAACCCCTACATTGTTCAAGGTCAACTGTATTATTAAACAGTTTTGTTTAATTTGATTCTAAGAATGTCTGACACAAAGTAACTTTTAGACAATTTATAATTAGCAATTTAATGTGTTTTCTGTTTATTTAATTTTTAAAAATTGTCTGAAAATAAAGGTTATAGGCATCAAGAAAACTGTTAAATACTATCTATAATACTGGTTTTTTTTGGCATTAAAAAAACACATATAAAGTTTTTTCATTTTGTTTAGGAAATTGGATGTTGTGGTAGAACTCTTTAAAAAAATATTTTTATTCACCCGAACCTCCCAATCTAGACTCTCTCATCCCTACAGCTGATAATAGGGAATACCTGTCGGTGGTACATAACTCAGCATCCTAAAAAGGAATGAGAGAGCTATATAGTATGAGGCAAAAGTAGGTTTACAGTATGAGTACTCGAAACACAGAGTTTATTCTTGTATTATTTATTATTTTCCATACAAACAATGGTAAACCAACTTTTGTCCTGTCCTGTATATCAAGTAATTAAAATGTGCTTTAAGATGATTTTGATTAAAAGAGAGCAGGTATGACTTTTTTCATTTTACAGATCAGTAAAAATTAAGTCAGATTCAGTTTAATGTGCTATTATAGTTTATGAATTAAGACCATATCTTGATGACTTTTAGTGGCTCTTTGGTTTCATCTTGTTTCCTGTTGTAAGAGGGGAGAATACATTTCAGAGACTTCCCCACATTACTAAATGTGATTTGAATTGGTGCTGGTAATCACTGGCAAGGAGCCAGACAGAGGTTATAAAGTAATTATTTTCTTACTAACTCATTGAGTTGTTAAGTTTTTTTCCACATTGCCTTCTCTCAGTCTGTTGAGTTTTTAACTTGAATGTTTTATATTTATACAGTTGAAATTGAACATTGTTTAATTATTAGGCCAGGGTTCTTTGTCTTTAAGGTTGACTTTAAAACCGTATTTTAATATTTTTAAGTTATCTTCATTTTTAACTGAAGTTTTTGGTATAAACCAGACATCATTATTCTTTTTTTTAATGATAGTATTTACATAATCATGTTTGAGATAAAAATAAAGTAGCTAAAAGTAATATGAAAGAAAGATGAAAAAGGGGTTAACTTTTTATTTTTGATTGTTTGATATTTATGTATAAGTTACTGAGAAACTTTTTTTTTTAAATCCTCACTCAAGGATATTTTTTCTATTGATTTTTAAAGAGAGTGAAAGGGAGAGGGAGAGACAGAAACACTGATGTAAGAGAGACATATTGATTGGTTGCCTCCCGCATGCCCCAACCAGGGCCAGGAGCCTGCAACCGAGGTACGTGCCTTGATCAGAATCGAACCCAGGACCCCCCAGTCTATAAGCCAACACTCTATCCACTGAGTCAAACTAGCTAGGACACTGAGCAACCTTTCATGAAAAGTTCAGAGAAATTATTTTAACTAAAGTGTGTTACTAAATTAAGGGACATTTCATTTTAATCTATAGAAGAATATTCTGGTGATAAAGAATATCACAAAGAGCCATGAAAGGAGATAATACCATCCAGATGGATGTTATTCAGACTAAGGCAGCCACCTATATGTCTGGATAATGCCAACATATGTCTAAGTCAATTTTTAGGGCTCTTCATACAATATAAATTTGTTTTATGTCTTCATTTTTTTCTTTCCCAATACTCCTCTCAGTATTTTTTCTTACACTTACCTAATTCACAGAATATTCCATTTTTTAAAAAATATCTAAAGAACTTTGAACTTCTTACGATATTTTTTTGGTATAGATAGGAGGTTGTTGGAGGAAAGAAAAACCCAAGCATATAAAACTTTCCAAACAATGGTCAGATAAAATTTAATTTTAGCATGGAATAGAAAAGGATTAACTGTAAAATCTGTTGTTTCACAGGTACTGTGAGAATAGAGATGTTTCGAAATATGCAGAATGCAGAAATCATCAGAAAAATGACTGAAGAATTTGATGAGGTATATAGCATTTCAATATTTATACAAATGTCCTACTTATACTTTTAAATGTTGATTATTTTAAGTTTTGTTTTGATTTAGTGTTTAGTATAAATGAAGATACACTATTTCCTCATGTATATATGATAGTCCATGCTACTAATTCCAAAATTAATGATCTCTGAGGATTTGATTACATTGCATGGAGGATGCACTAAATAAACAGTAAGGATAAGAATATTAGTGGTATGAGCTAGAAGTTGATTCTTGACACTCATTCTTGAAGATCACCTAAAATCCCCAAATTTAAAGAGGTATCTCCAACAGTTTAATATTCTGTGGAATGCTAGTCCTATTAAATGCTTAAAGAAAAAGGATTTGGAGGACAAAGAAGTGTGAACAGATTGCGTATGTTTTTTAAAATTCTAATGGAGAAAAAACTGCTAAACTGCAATCCACAATTCCCAAAATTATTTTATGTGGACCTTTACCACATGCCCTTCCCTTGTGTGTGTGTGTGTGTGTGTGTGTATGCGTGTAATCGCGAGCGCACCTCTGTGTATAAAACTTAAGCATGTATTAAGGGAAACTGAGAATATTGTGATTTATGATGCATGTTTTCTTTGCTAGTCTTAACAAATTACTCATGCAGAACTCAATTTCTACAAATTTTTTAATTTTCACTGAAATAATTCTCTGAAGTAGTTTTACACAGATTTTATGTTGAAACACTTACATAGTTTTATTTCTGCACTAGTGGCCCAGTGCACAGAATTCGTGCACACTAAAAGAGAATTAAATAGAGGAAATATTTTAATATTGCTATTTGCCCTTTCTCTATAATAGAAGTGTCAGAGATGAAAGAAAATTAGTAAAATGTATATGAAAATCTCCCTCCTGTCAGAGTCTGGGATGCACCACAGGACCCAGCGTCAAGTCCCCGCCCACCCGCGTGCCTCGAAATCACGCAAGACTCAGACCCAGCCAGCCCCACCCCTGACAAGCCCCGCAGGGCAGGGGCACAGCCTTAGGTTCCCCAGCCTGGCGCCAGGGCGGAGGGCATGGCCTCAGGGCCCCTGGCCCGGCGCTGGGGCGGGGGTGCTGCCATTGTCACACTCAGGGCAGGGTCAATGGGGAGGTTATGGCTCTACCCCATCACACACAGAGCAGGGCCCGTCGGGTGGGGGTTGGGGCACCGCCCTCTATCACCCACAGAGCAGGGCCAATCAGGGGGTTGGGGCGCCGCCACTCTCACACTCAGGGCAGGGCCGATGGGGAGGTTATGGCTCTACCCCGTCACACACAGAGCAGGGCCTATCGGGGTTGGGGCGCTGCCCCCTGTCACACACAGAGCAGGGCTGATCAGGGTTGGGGCACCGCACCTTGTCACACACAGAGCCGCAGGGCGATCAGGGGGTTGAGGAGCTCCCCCTATCAGGCACAGAGCAGGGCTAATCAGGGAGTTGGGGCGCCTTCCCCTGTCACGAACAGAGCAGGGTGGATAGGGAGGTTGTGGCCCCGCCCCCTATCACACACAGAGCCACAGGGCGATCAGGGGGTTTGGTCGCTGCCCCCTGTCACGCTGATCCCGGTGCCGGGAGGCCTCTCGACTCCGCTGATCCTGGTGCTGGGAGGCCTCACTGCTCCGCTGATTCCGGTGCTGGGAGGCATATTACCCTTTTACTATATAGGATAGAGGCCTGGTGCACGGGTGGGGGCCGGCTGGTTTGCCCTGAAGGGTGTCCTGGATCAGGGTGGGGGTCCCCACTGGGGTGCCTGGCCAGCCTGGGTGAGGGGATGATGGCTGTTTGCAGCTGGTCACACACCCTTCATGGTGGGGGTCCCCACTGGGGTGCCTGGCCAGTCTGGGTGAGGGGCTGAGGGCTGTTTTCAGACTGGCGAGTGACTGAAGCTCCCAACCGCTCCTTTTTTCCTTTTTTTTTTTTATTCTGGGCCAGCTTTATCTCTGAGGCTTGGCTCTAGCTCTTAGGCCTCCGCTGCTGAAAGCAGGTTTCTGGCCTTTGTTTACCTTCTGTATTTGAAACAATGTTGCAATCCTGCTGGCTGAAGCCCGAGGGACTAAAGCAGGTTTCTGGGGTTTTGTTTAGCTTCTATATTTGTAACATAGTTGCTTAGAGTTGCAGCTCAGAGGCCTGCAGCCGCAGGCAGTGAACGTTGGAGTCCTCCGTCACTGAAGCAAGCAAGCTTCATGTTCACTTTAAGCTGCCTGGCTGCCAGCCACCATCTTAACTGGCAGTTAATTTGCATATTGCCCTGATTAGCCAATGGGAAGGGTAGCGGTCGTACGCTAATTACCATGTTTCTCTTTTTTTTTTATTAGATAGGTTAGGATGCCATTGGTATTTTGGTAGGAATTGCATTGAATCTGTAGATTGTTTTGGGTAATACAGATATTTTAATAATGCTTATTATTCTTATCCACGAGCATGGTATATGCTTCCATTTATTAATATCTTCCTCTGTTTTTTCTCCAATGTCTTTTATCTTGATTAAATTTATTCCTAGATATATTTTTTATACAGTTGAAAATGGGATTGTTTTCTTAGTTTCCCTTTTTGATAATTCATTATTGGTGTATAAATATGCAACTGATTTCTGAATGTTTACTTTGTATTCTGCTACTTTACTTATCAGTTTTACTAGTTTTTTGGTGGAATCTTTAGGGTTCTATATGCATCATCTGCAAATACTGACAATTTTACTTTTTTCTTTCCTATTGATATGTCTTTTACTTTTTTCTTGTCAGATTGCTGAGGCTATGACTTCTGTTTATGTGATGTTTCGAGATAGTTGGTTTGCTGATAGTGTATGAACTTTGCATCCCAGGAATAAATCCCACATGATCCTGGTGTATATCTTTAAATTGTATTGCTGCATTTGATTTACTAATATTTTTTTGAGGATTATGACATGTGTATTCACGATTGGCCTATAGTTTTCTTTCATTATAGTGTCTTTATTTGGAATTAGGGTAATGCTGGCCTCATAAAATGAAATTGAGAGTCTTCCTTCCTCTTGAATTTTTTGGCATAGTTAGGGTAAGTGGTAGGTCTTTGAATGTTTGGTAACATTTACTTGTGAAGCCAGCCAGTCCAGGATCTTTGTTTATTGGGAGTTTTTTTGATGGCTGCTTCAGTTCATTAGTTGTAATTCTTCTGTTCAGATTTTTTGTTTCTTCTTGATTCAGTTTTTGGAGAGTGTATCTTATAGGAATTTGTCCATTACTTCCAGGTTGTCCAATTTTTTAGCATATAGCTGCTCATAATTTTTTCATAAAATCCCTTTTATTTCTGTGGTGTCAGTTGTTACTTTTCCTCCATCACTTCTGACTTTATTTATTTGGGTTCCCTCTCTTTTTTTCTTGGTATGCCTGGTTAAAGGCTTGTCAATCATGTTTATCTTATCAGAGAACCAACTCTTGGATTCATTGACCTTTTGTGTGTTTTTTATCCTTACTGGGGACTTTTTTTTTTTTTTTTTTTTTTTTTTTTTTTTTTTTTTTAGAGAGAGAGAGAGAGAGAGAGCAGAGGAAAGAGAGAAAACATCTGTGTGAGAGAGACACATTGATTGGTTGCCTACCACACATACTCCAACTGTGGCTGGGGATCGAGCCTGCAAGTGAGGTATGTTTCCTTGACTGGTAATAGAACTCGCGACCCTTTGGACCACAGGCCAACGCTCTATCCACTGAATAAAACCAGCCAGAGCTGTATTTTTTTTTCTCTATTTCTTTTATTTCTGCTTTGATCTTTATTATTTCCTCTCTTCTACCCACTTCCGGCTTTGTTTGTTCTTTTTTTTTTTTTCCTTCAAGTGTAAGGTTAGATTGTTAATTTGAGATTTTTCTCTTTTTTTGAGGTAGGCCTGTAATGCTATGAATTTCATCACCAAGGAATATTTAAAAACTACAGATACCTGGATCCATTTTACATCCTTCAGACATTCTGATGTAATTTGTTAGGTATGCACCAGGGCATAGGGATTTTTAAAAGCTCACCAGGTAATTTCATATACAGCAAAGTTTGTAAACTTCTGTTCTAAGGGACATAAAAAGTGAAAGCCAAAATTTAAGTTAGAAAAGCACTTCATAGCCCTAGCCGTTTTGGCTCAGCGGATAGAGCGTCGGCCTGCGGACTGAAGGGTCCCAGGTTCCATTCCTGCCATGGGCGCATGCCTGGGTTGCGGGCTCAATCCCAAGTGGGGGGCATGCAGGAGGCAGCCGATCAATGATTCTCTCTCATCATTGATGTTTCTATCTTTCTCTTCCTCTTCCTTCCTCTCTGAAATCAATAAAGAAGTATATTTTTTTAAAAAAAGAAAAGCACTTAATATATGAAAATAGAATAAGGGGAAAACGAATATACTGTGAAAATGCACAATAACACTAAATAGTTGCTTTTCTAAGATTTTGGGATAACTAGAGAAAGAGGAATAATTCAGAAAAATAAAATTCATTATATACCTTACCTAAGAAAATATTCCTGTGAATGTTGTCAGATATTCAGGGTTTCTTGGAGGAATAGTAAACTATTACCAAAACTGATGAGTTACATATAATGAAATATTTTAAGATGCACTTATTTCATATTCCTAAATATTTTTCTCTCTCAGCATTGGAGCTTACTTAATGAAAGAAGAGTAACAATCACTGTTCTCATTTTTTTCTGTTTGACATTGCAATTAAGTCCTTATTATGATTAGAAAGTATTTGTTTAAAGCACAGTTATATGATATATTAGATCTATCTTCCAATGCTGTTTGTTCATTTTATTTTCAATCACTTTAGCAAGTATTACTCTTTTTGATACTTTATCTATACTTAAGAAACTGCATTTAAATGCCTGCATATTGTTAAAATTTACAATTTTTTTCAAAATATTATATAGGTTATTTGGTCTCCTGGGAGAGGAGGGAGGTTAGTTTTGGTAAATTATATTTTGTGGCAATATTCTGAATCATTGTATCCCAAGAGCCTAGAACAGGGGTGGGCAAACTTTTTG